AAAGAAAATGTATTCTCACAAAAATTATTCACATTCTCCTGCAAAAACTACAATGTTTATTTTTTAATATAAAAGAAGGTATGATCAACTACTGTTCTGTATCTTATAAAGATAACAGTGAAGTGCTGACAAATCCGTTTTTATGATTCTCTATCATATTAAAAAAGCAGAGAAATAAATTCTTCTCCTAACAGGCACAGAACACAAAAATCTAAGGACTTTCTCTCTGATGCTTATTTCTGGACTTCAACCAATTCCTCCAGGAAGACTTCTTCCTAATTTGCTTCACACTGGAGTCGATACTTTCCTTCTAATCTACTATTCTGATATCTCCATCCCCAGGATAAGGCCTTCAGATAGATATTCTCTGCAAATAGAATAAACCCTAACCTCCCTCAACCCTTAATGATCTGTGCTGACTCTTCTCCTGCAACCTCCCCACTCACCCTGAGTGCTAGGCACCAAGGACCCTCTTTGTTTCCAGAATGGGGTCTTTCCTTTGCCCTCTGCCTCTCTGTTCATGTTCTACCTTCTGCTTGGAATGGCCTGCATTCTTCACCTCATCCTCCAGTCACTATCAACACCCTACTCCTTCCTGGACAACTCAAACCTAAAGTTTTCTGAAACTTAAATCCACCTTTCCCTCTTTGCATTTTCTAGTTCCTGTTCTTTGGCATTTAATATTCTGCATCTTGGGTATTCACTCTAAGGCATCACCCAGGAAATGCAAGTTGTTGACTCTGTGTCATACCTGCCCACCCCTCTATTGCGCTGAGCCCAATGGTTGAACAAAACAAATTTTGATTATTGTTTCTGTCATGATATTTACTTAATAGCTACTTACAATGGCAGTATGACATCCCCTTAGGAGTCAAGCTCTGCTATGACACTGCCTGATTCAAATCCAGCCTCTGATACTCACCGGCTACAAGATCCTTTCTGTGCCCGAATTTCCTCCTTTATACATGGGTATAATAATAAAGCATGTCTCACTGGGTTGTTAGTTAATGATTTAACATATAAGTACACAGCACAGAGCTTGCTAGTTTAGTATTCCTCAATAGACATTAAATAAAGAAAAATGCCTGGATCAAAATAAGCTTTAAAATACCCTCTAAATCACAAGTTAAGAATTATTTGAAAATCAAATGAACAATGAAATAATGAATGACTTAAAATGTGCCCATTAATGATACTGGGCATTAATGCATTTTTTTCCTATCAGATTTATATTTACACTTAGTAGGGAATCCATTCATATGGAGAGTGCCTGCTGCAGGTGGACCACCAAATACCAGGAAGAGCCCACAAAGATTCTCTGCACGATCTGATCACTTCCCCAATGTCTTGGTCAGAGAACCGGTAATGAACCTGAACTGAAGCAGCCACACTCAACAGCTGCTGAAACATCGTATTCAGCTCAACATTCCTGGGCCCCCAAAATCCCTGATGGTAAATGTGGCTCAGACCATGCTCCCTTACACAGCAGAGACCTTTCAGTTCTGGTCTTATTTTTCTATGTGCCTTTTCTATCAGAAACGAACAGTGTCAACCAAATCAAGCAACCCTGGCTTGAAACCTCCCTGTGGTATCCCATCACCACAAAGAAAGAGCTAAGGTCCTTCAAACTTTGAGGCCATCAGAGTGTCACATGTTCCCCTCCCCAACTACCCTACCCCCTGTCCTTTCTTGTTCCACATCTCCTATTCTCTACTGGGCTGATTCCATTCCATCGACACTGTCTGCCCTGTGGTTATCTGGATATCTGGGATTTGACAGTCAAGGCCCTGCCTTAGAGCCTTTGAAATTGGAGGTTTCCTGTTGGAAGTTTCCCTAGAGAACCACATGGCTTTCTCCCTCCCCTCAACTTCTCACTCAAATGTCTCCCCTTTCAGTGATGTCCTCCCAGGCCAGTCCATGGACAATTCCATCTCTTCCCCATACACATATGCCTGGAGACCCCTTTTCCTGCTTTATCATCTCCATAGTACCTTTCCCCATCTAACATACTGTTGATTGCTTTTTGGAGGAGTCTAACATTGACTCCTGAAACCAAAATATAAGTTGCAAGAGAGGAGATACTTCCCTGCAGTCATTGATAGAACATGATCATGTAAAACAATACCTGGCACAACTAGACACTTGATAAATATTTATCAAACAAATAAATGCAGAGATAATGGGACAGCTTATCAGCAACCTGAGGAAAGTTAAACGGGGGGTGGGCGTGGGCTCATGTGCATGGAAATGGAATCTTTCACAAATCATTCTACCTTGTATTTTGAAGAGTATAGTTGGAAAACCATATCAATGAGGTTGATGGTTCTCCACTGGGAGTGATTTTACCCTCCTCTAAATAGTTGTCATGTCTGCAGCCATCTTCGATTGTTATGACAGTGATGGGAGATGAGGGGCTACTGGCATCCAGTAGGTAGAGGTCAGGGCTGCTAGTAAACATCCTGCATGGTACAGGACACCACCGCCCCACAAAGACGGATCTATCCAAAAATGTCAACAATGCTAAGGTTGAGAAACCCTAAAATCTGACTCAGCAAGAGATAATTCCTTTGGCCCAACTCAACAGTACATAGACAACTGTATAGCACATGGGTGTGTGGGAAGAAAGTCATTCAACTTTGTTGGTATTACAGAGAGAACAAATACAAAAAAATTTGTATATAAAAACAGAGGCAGGTTAAAAATGATACAAAGTAGACATTCTTCCAAAGAGGAAATTCAGATGGCCAACAGGCACATAAAAAGATGCTCCACATCGCTAATCATCAGAGAAATGCAAATCAAAACCACAAGGAGATATCGGCTCACACCAGTCAGAATGGCTACCACCCAAAAGACAAGAAATAGCAAGTGTTGGCGCGGATGTGGAGAAAAGGGAACCCTCCTATACTCGTGGTAGGAATGTAAATTGGTGCAGCCACTGTGGAAAGCAGTATGGAGGTTCCTCACAAAAACAAAAATAGGAATACCATGCAACCCAGTAATTCCACTTCTAGGATTTTACCCAAAGAAAACAAAATCCCTGATTCAAAAAGATGTATGCACCCCTATCCTATGTTTATTGCCACACTGTTTGTAATAGCCAAGTGTGGAAGCAACCTTTTCATCAATAGGTGAATGCATAAAGAAGATGTGGTACATATATGTCATGGAATATTACTCAGCCCTAAAAAAAACCAAGATCCTGACATTTGCAACAACATAGATGGACTTTGAGGGTATTATTCTAAGTGAAAAAAGCCAGGAGGAGATAAACAAATACCATGTGATTTAACTTTTTTGTGAAATCTAAAACTAAGATAAAATGAACAAAATAGCAGTAGACTAATAGATAAGGAGAAACGACTGGTGGTGACCAGGGGGGAGGGGTTGGGGTGGATGAGTGGGAAGAGAGAGGGGGATAAAGGGGCACATAAATTTTCAAGCTTAAGTTGGTCACAGGGATGGGAGTATAGCACAGAGAATACAGCTAATGATTCTGCAACATCTTCCTTTGTTGACAGAGAGTCACTGCACTGGTGGGGGTGAGGATTTAATAATGTGGGTAAGTAACTGTTGAACTGTTGTGTTGTATACTTGAAACTAATATAAGACTGCATATCAACTATACTTAAGTAAATAACAATTTTAAAAATAATACAAAGTAGCATTCACCCAAGAAGGAATAAAACATGCTTCCAAGGAGTCACCTATAAAAATAAAAGAAGAAATGTCAAAAAAACAAAAAAAGAGAGAGAGAGAAAGGGAACCGTATTGTAAATGAGTTTTTGCTTCTTATCCCTTTAGACCTCTTTAAAATTGTGCCTCATGTTCCTGGTACATGTATTCTTTCAGGAATAACTGACAAAGTTGCAATAAAAAAAGGACGGAAGTCCCAAATGACCGTCTCATCTCTGCGAGTCGGTGGGGCCTGCTGCTGATGGCTCCGAGCACTTGGCAGAGGCCGGCTCTACGAGAGAGCAGCTGCTCCACCACTGTCTTCTAGTAACATCAGGGATATGAGAACTTGGGGAGAAATTAACTAAGTGAGCAGAAACAGAAGAGATATTGAGAGGTGTAGCTTCCCCCTCTGTAAACATCATGCGAGTTGGTCTAATCTCGTGGTTAAATTACAGGCTGCTCTAGCAGAAAGGCACTAATAGCTTTGGAAAAGCAAGTCTTTGGGAAGAAATAAATAAAGCCTTATTGATGGATAAGGCCATAACGACTCCATTACAAACTGTGTTCATGGATGAAAAAGTAAAATTCTCTCTTCTAGAAGAATACATTTAGCACAAACATTAATGCCCAATTAATAGGTGAATTCTGAGCCCAGTTTTTCTCCTTGGTCCGTGTAGAGACATTATTTTGTACTCTGCCCTCTGAATTTTATAGGGTATTTTTTCATTCAGCTCTTAGCTTACTCTGGTATGTTCTCTTTTACCTGGACTAACGAAACAGCCCTCTTTTTCCAAGAGAAGCTCTCTGCTCTCTTCCACAAAGCATCTTTTGAGACTCAAAGCCAACATGAATACTAAAAAAACAAAGAGAACTTTTGAGAGAATGGTCTTTAGTAGCACTGAGAAAAATTGTACAGTTCCCAGTCATCTATCTTTGAAGAAATGGACAGTGAGGAGGTGATAAAGAAATACATCCATGTTTGTTACTAACGAATGGAAAATCAGTTATAGATCTGTAATCCCTGAAGCCAAACAGAAAGTCCTATCTTAAGGTGGAAAGACTGAGAGTGAATTGAAAGACTGGTCAACATGTCTTGATGGGTTCAGTCAGTATTCAACTGACACAAAGAGAAAATTATGTTATTTTGTATCTGAAAGTACTGAACATAGTGGGTAAGGCTAAGGAATAAAATAGTTGTTTCCTGCTATAGTTGGGAGGATTTTTTTTTCCCCTACATTGACAAAGATAAAGCAAACTTAGATCATAAAACCTTGTCAACTGTAAAGTGACTCACAAATTGTGTTTGAACAAAGGTAACTTACAGACAACAACGGAATGGCAACTTTTCCGAGAAAATCAGGGGGTTTATCTCCATCTTCATCAAACACTGTCACTTCCAAAACATCATGGACATCTTTAATAGGACTGAAACAAGAAACACATGATGAATTATATACAAAAACACACAAGTGAAGTCTGTTCCATGACGATCTGAAAATACGGTTTCACTAATTAAGCCTTAGGTCCTTAGAGTATAAAACTACCATTTAATTAAATTCCAAAAATTAAATCAAACTGACTGTATTCCCAAGCCTTTCATCATAGTAGATTCAGACATCCACAAGAAAAAAAAAGTCAACTTTTTCACTATGACATTTTTTCATACATAGGTACACTGAAGGGTACAACTGTTAAAGAAACAGGATGAAGAAATAGACAGACTGAGGGGAGTACAAGGCCAATGATTTCAAAGTAGCTTCCAAGCAAAAATAAGATTGCCTTTACTTTAAGGTAGAATTCCTTTAAAAAAAAATGAGCAAAGTCACTATTTGCTGAGAGCCATAGAAAGTTTTCTATTATTGAAACCCAAAATACTAGAAATCCCATGCATATTCAGAAACATGCTTTAAGTTGACCAGAAGCCAGACATTAAGCTATCCAATGAAAAATGAAGCCATAGCCACTGGCAGTATGTTGAACAAGCAAGAGATTCTTGCATATGGCAATGTGCAAAACTGCTTAGCAGTGTTGGTCCACTTCATAGGTCCTTGGGAACTTTCTACTTGGAAACCATCAATTTCATTTAAAACATTCTTTCCATTATAAGCTCAGATGGAGCACTGCTTTGGTGTTGTGAGAGCAGTACACCATCATATTCCCCAGTTTCAACAGGGGCCTCCCCTTGATGGTCGGGTGCTTCAGATATCTAAAGCAAACTAGGAAATATATTCAGCTTCCAAAATGCCTGAGCTTAAAAGAGTGGACTGGGCATCTCTCTATGGAGCAGGTCGTTCAGATAAGGTGGAACATTGGGAGCATTTAGGAGTCTTTGAGGCATCATAGATAATCTGAATTTTCCAAAAGACTCTGGCAGAATACAAGTTTTCAAGGGTTCAAATAATGTTGCAATATATAAGATCCTTGAATTTAAGATGAGTCTACATTTGTAATTTTCTTTAACCCAGGAATAAATTAGTCTGGATATATGGATGCTTCCATCTACTCACAGATTAATTTAGTCACTAAAAGATTTACTTTACAAATGCCTCCTATAACACTCCCTTGGAGCTTCGAATGGTCTCTTCTATTATTAACACTGTACTCTCTAAAATGAAAAGATAAAAGGTTTTCAGGAGGAAGAAACAGTAAAATTCATTCTTCGCACATAAAAACGGACAGATAGTTCCACTCAAGAGCCCCAGCCTGCCCCAAACATATCAGGGATAATTGGTCTCTAAGTTAAAGCCACTCTCTGCAATTCCAGAGGCTAAAGCACTCACAATGTGAAAACTTTGTTCCATTCAGGGTTGAGGTTTTTGTAAATGGTATGTGTCTGAAGTCGGTCGTTGCCTAACTCCAGCAAGCAAAAAGGATCGCTCTTTCCTGGAAAGAGAACACAGACATCGGTCAGAGACAAATGAATCTCTCTTGGGCAGAGACATACAGATCTCCAAAGCGACAGAGACAAAGTGAACAAAACCCCTGTGCTTGTATAACAGGAAAGCTGTGCTGGCTGAAAGAGCCAAAGTGAGCCTCTCTTTCCAGCAAGCCCTGGAGAATGAAGGAGAATTCAGAGTTCTCCTGGGACTTCAGGCCTTCGGGAGAGTAACAGAGTTTGCATGTGCTGGGGCTTCAGCACCCTGAAAAGACTGGGATCGTGTGCAACCCAGATGCAGCCTTGGGAGCAGTGGCCGCAAGGGTTTCATAGGAGCACGGGTCCATCTGGCACGTGAGTGATTGCACTTCCATGTTTTGGTTTAAAACCAAAGCTCATCTCTTGTTTCCTTCCTATGTTCTCCAAGAGTCAATCTTGATAATTATCCTTCTATAACTGGAAGCCTCTGGTAACTGACAGGCTTCCCCATGGTTGTGAGAGAAGCGAGGACGTAGCTATTTGGGAGTTACATCTCTGTTCTGGCGCAAGTGGCCACAAACATGTATGAACCTATAGATTTGGTACATCATGAGAACATACAAGCTACATTTTGGGTTCTAACTATGCAAAAGCATAATTCCCTAAAGTAATTTCCAAGTGTTTTTCTCAAAACAGGGAAGCTTTTACCCCTTACCTCCCCACCTCACCCCTTCTTTTTCTGCTTACCTGACACATCCCTCAAAAGAAAAAAAAATTGTTTAAATTAAAAAAAAAAAAATCCAAAATCCAAAGCCAGACCCAGAAAGTCACCAGGTAAAACTTCTCTTTCCTTTTTTCGGGTTTGGCAGAGGGATCAGTAATTGGAACTGTCAGGGAAGAAACTAGAAGCCCGGTAATGTCCGTAGGACATGCACGCGTCGCCTGCCCCTGCAGCACACTGGCACCTTGCAAAGCAGTGCATCCTAAATTGACGGAGAGCGTAAGGACAGATGCTCCTCCAACAAATGGCTGAGGAATCCCAGGCCGGGGCCTAATGAAGAGGGTGCTCAGGCCTCTTGGCCTGCTGGCCTGCCATTCAGGTTAGTGAACCTACATTTAATTCATTGAAGAACCAGGGGCTCTGAGGTACTGCACAGTAACAGAGAGACTGAAATCTATAGGAGCCTGCGTGGAGATTACATTTCACAGGGAAAGAAGAGGGCGAGAGCAGAGGCATGGGTTAGGATCAGCATTAAGCAGGAGACTCCATTCAACCGACCAGTGCCTGGACACTTAGATACCCAACCAAAGCTTTTGAAGGCAAGGCTGCAATCTCAGTGGTCAGCAGATGATGATCAAACCGCAGGTATAAATGAATGAGCTGTGCTCACCAATCCTAAAGGTGGAAATGGTCTAAATGTAGCTTAAAAGGAATCTATTAAAATAACACCAAGCAGCTCTCAAAATCATTGCAAAGACTGGGAAATCACTAGAAACCAAAGAAAGCTTCAAAACATTCAAGCACAAGAACTTCAGTCAACATCTTACCCCAGGGAAAGTCTGGCATGGCCTCTGTGTTCCAGGAAAACTGGTCCCTCGCACCCTCCTGTCGCTGGACCCTGAGGGTGGCTGCGTCTAACGAGAATTCTCCATTCTGGCTTCTATGCTTCTCTTGGTGTGAATGTGAAGGCCCCAGAGGATGCATGTGCTTCTCCCTGCCCTGCTATAAGTATGCATGTCCCAACAGCCCAGGCTCAGAAAAGCAGCACCCGCTTCTCAGTTTCTGTGAATGAAAGCAGACTGGGACCCCTTCTCCAAAGCATACAGTGGGAAATGCCCCCCACCTAGAAGGGGTTTCAGATGATGGCCAGCCCAAATCAAATCAACACATCAGAAAGAGTCTCGCTTATGTAAAGGAAGCTTTATTCTGGGCATTTGTTCTGTAGGGCATGAGGTATGGGCTAGGTGGGGAGATACCTGCCAGTGTAGAGGCACCGAGCACCCCTTCACCAAAGGCAAACATGAAAGAGCGTGCTCAAGGCTTAACGCTCAGGGGGACGGTGCTTGGTTGCACACCGACAGAGACTGAAACAGCTACTTAACCATTTGTCAGACTGACAGTCAGTGTCAGAGCTGTTCCTCCAGAGACACCAACATGACATCCCACCGGCACTCACTCCGGGGAAACTGTCTGACACTTTCAATGAAAGCCCTGAGCTGGTTACTCCACAGCAGGGCCAGGACGGGGCTGGTCCTATTCAGACACAGGTGGGCCTGAGCTGTGGTCCCTGCATTCTTAAACCAGCACACTCTTGGCTGTCCCAGCTAATGAGGAACAGACTTCCTTCCAGAACCCGGAAACTTCAGTTATGTGTCTGTAAGGAACACACCACACACCACAGCTCTCCAGGTAATTCTGTCAAAGCTCATTAAAATGCTGCATTTATTAATATTGCAGTGTAAACAGGCAGAGCAGAGGAAGAAGAAACAAAGACATTAAAACATTTATAGAATAATTTATGTATATACTTTATGAATTGCTTTCTTTCCCTGAAAAGCTTCCAGATAAATGGGGGCTTCAATAAAATTGAAAGAACAACTATTTTTATTTGGGGTGAAAATGATCTTCCACAATAAATGAAATACCCACATGTTCCCCAATGGTACTGAGTGAACAGTATCGAGCAAACGGACATACACACTTGGGTCTGCACTGTTCTGCTTTACTGCACTAGTTTTACAGGTAAACATCTAGATGACCTCTTCTGCACCCAGATGCCATGTCACCTTGACATGGTCACACCATCGATGACTCAGTTTCACGATTTTGCTTTATGACTTTGCATGTAATAGCCTTTTCTATTGTTCAATGCCACCTCAAAATTCATTTATATTCCTTGAATGGCAAGTAGAGGTTTCTTACTGAAATAATTTTACCTTTCTATCAGTTACAGAAGTTGAATGGCAAATAATAAGTGTATTTTAGAGGTCACAGCATTCATCTCACAAATATTTATGAAGCACACACTGTGCTCCTGGCCCTGAACCAGGCCCTGATGCGCACAGACCACCAAGTCTTACCTTCAAGGAACTCTCATAATAACCCCTGCTTTTCAGCAAATGTCATCTTTTTAATGAAAACATCCCTCTGGCTTCCTACTAGCAGACAGTGATTCCTATCTCTAGTCTCCTATAGTATAGTTTCCTTATACCTCTTCTGTTCCACATCTGTACATTTCGTTCCATATTTAGCCCAGTATTCCATTTAAAAGGTGCGATGCAGATACATCAGCTACGAGTGCCCCTGCCATCCCCTGTGTACAGTGCTGTGGCCCAGGGTGAGAGGCCAGCAGGGCAATTTCCAGCTCCCAGGGATGGGCTTTGGCCAAGGGAGCCACAAGCCTCCCACTCAGGGCAAGAAACCGTGTTTTATACAGGTTCTCATTTAATCTTTGCATCAACTCTATCAGGTAAGGCATGTTCATGCCATTTTCCTTCTAGCTCCATTCCTGTCACCATGCAAGTCCATAAAACATATCACCCATTGGATTTGCCTAACATCTCCCTGTTCTCACTCTGTACCCTCAAAATCCTTGCTCCTCGCAGCCACCAGAATTTTTTATATTTTCACATGAGGTCATATCACTGCCTGAATACCCTAATTTCTTTGCCTGTACCCTATGTCCTCATATAATCCAATCCCACCTAAGACACTGACCTCCTCTCTCCTGAGCATCCCCTTGCCCTGTTATCCGTCACTAACTTTCTTCCAGGCCTTGGAAAAGCCCTGAAGGCTTTGAAACATGCTGCTCCATCATTAAAACACCTTTCCTTCACTTCTGCTGTGCTAACTCCTTATTGTCCCTGACATCTCAGCAAAAACATCACCTTCTGGAGGAACACCAGTCACCTTTAAAGGACCTTGGCATTCTATTCTTGATCTTAGTAGGACAATTGTCATTGTATGCTACAGGCTTAACTAGTCACTTCACGTGAAGCTTGGACCATTTTCTATTTCCCACCATGTCATCAGAGCCCAGCACTGGCACTTATACAGGGAGGTGTACCTGCTGAATAAATTAAGATACTACTGAGAACTCAACCAGAAAAATCAAATGATTCCTTGGTTAATTCACATGATACCAATGAACTGAATTCATTCACTCTCGAGGTGCCAGTAAGTTACAAACTGCTAAATCTTATACATACTCTCAAATTTTACACTGACTAGAGTCCATGTTCTTTGTCAGACTGTTAAAGCAGAAAGGATGCCAAAAGCAGATTTATATCATTTTTGATGTGTTTTTTTTTAAGTTGGTCTTGATTTGGGCTCAGTGATCCCAGAGACTCTCATGAAAATTAAAAGCATGCAATCGCTACTGCTAAGCTTTCTAGAAACCGCACTTACAACCATCCCTTTGAAAACAGGGTATCTTTAAGAGGAGAGTATTGCTATGGAGACAGCTTCACAAAACAGAAAATGAGAACAAACCAGAAAATAGGCATGTGATTTAAAATTCCCAATGAGCAATAGCTATAGGACTATTTCTCTTCTGGTACAAGTATTCAATGTTTCAAAAGAAAAAAAGGAAAAAAAAAATAACAAAAAACTTAAAGCAGTATTAGAATTTACAGAAACTACTCAAAAGTCAGTATGACAGCATATGGCTGAAATATGTCTATTCTACAATGTAGGATCTAAATGTGGTATTTTGGTAAGTGATTTCCCAGAATAGCACTTTTATGTATAACAAAAAAGTCAATGAGCTCACAAAAGCATTTTATATTGATAAAACTATTATTCTGATGATCAAAACATGTTACAAGCGCTAAACTGGTTTAGATGTGAGAATTTTCCTTCCACGAATCATTTTTTTCTTTACTTTTATCAGGCAATACAAACAGAAAGAAAGGAAAAATAAATGTTGTAGAGTGGTAAAAGTGACTACCAATGCCAATATTTACAACATTACTTAAAATTGGGGAAATTATGAACAACATATAAAGAAGAAAATAAACCCATATCAAC